AAAATTAATAAAAAGTTTAAGTCGAAGTCAGTTACTAATTTTACAATTAGGGTTATGTTACTTATATATTATGGTATCCATAAGGATGTTCATAATATACATGTGGCATAGTATCATTGGAAAGTTGAAAAATAAATTTTTCAACCCTCTAATCATGGAATTTCACATATACATAATGTATGTGTAGAATTATCCATAAAATAATGTTATGCGTACACTTTGAGGTGTACATACAACCTTACACCCCTACTTGGCGAGGTCCCTCCATGTGACAAAAGTGTAGGAATGTTAACGAGTCGGCTCACGAATCGAAACTCGATACTCGAGCTCGGCTCGAGTAAAGTTAGCGAGCTTTTTTTTTGGGCTCAAGGAGGGTCGAGCCAAAAAAATTAAACTCTGCCCGAGTTGAGCCAGGAGACTCGCTTTATATATATATAAGACAGTCGTAGTTGGCTGCCTCTTAAAGCAGCATTTTGCCGCCTTTAACTTTAAGTTTTTTTTTTTTTATAGGCTCGCGGCCAGTTTAGGCTTTTTCCGACCCAAGTTGATAAGCCAAATTGTCATCCCTAGAGGAGTGTAAAATCGCATGTAAACGATTACATACATGTAGTATTACCCTTAATGTTAAACACACATTTTATGGGATCATAACTTTTTCCAACTTTTTCAATATGCATTTTATCAAAATTTACTAGAAGTATGGGGTTTAGCAAATTCAAAGAGGGACTTAAAAGATGTTTGAAATAGATATAATATGGTCATTGGTTATCAATTAACTTTAGGAATTTGTTGCAAAATGGTCCCCAACTTGTCTTTGGTGTGCAAATTGACATGAACGTTCCTAACCTGTGTGTTTTGGTTTTAATATTTTGTCATATAAAAAATTGCAGCTATGTACATAACCTCTAGAAAAACTACAAATGGGTCTCAATCTTTATTTAATAGTGTTTAAGGCAATGTACTAAGCCCCCGTTTGGTCCCCATTTCTTTGGAAATGAAATGGGTGGAATAGCGTTTTTTTGAAAAACGAGTGGTTGAAAAAAAAATGAAAAAATTTCGATTTACGTGTAATATTATTTTATATAAGATAGTATGGTTGAAAACAGATGAAAAAAAAATGGAATGAAAATTAATGGGGGCTAAATATATAACTATGGTCATGACAACTTAAATATTCTAGATTAAAAAAAAAAAAAGTTAAATGATAATGCTTTAAATCTATGTAATTGCTTTGTAGTTACGTGTAAAATTGAATAAAAATTAAGATAACTAAATAACAAAATGACTTCGATGAATTTTATTGTATTTTTATCTAGTATAAACATTATAGATAATAAATTAATCGACGGATTATGTGTTCTCTATTTTTGTCGACAATAATAAAAATGATAAATTAAAATAGCAAGAATACAACTAGAGCTCTAATATTTGTAGTTAAACAAACGATCAATAAAAAAAAAAAATGAGTGGATTTATGAAGTTTGACGTCACGTAACAATTTAAGCATGTAGTTTAATTTTTAGTAACACAAGTCCCACGAATGAAATTATGAGTCACTAAGGATGTGAGAACTAATGAAATTACCTAAATTCTACTTCAGTTGGAGAATAAATTAGAATCGGAGTACATTTCTTATGGTATATATTTGTTTTCACATGCGTTATGCCTTTTAAAAATTATATTTCAACAAAATTTTCGACATTTGTAATGCACGTGTGCAAGTGTTTATTTAAAAAAATGGTCCAATTTTTTTTATTTTTTTTATTATTTTTTTTTCATAAGAATGTCCTAAAATATATTGGACTCACCTCGAATGAGCATGTTCAACTCCACTTGAAATTTTAGATCACCCAAAATTTAATCCTAGGTCATACTACCATCAAAAACCATAAACATTAGCATAAAATTTAGACCATGGATATGATTAAGTTTACCCACTAGTGAGCATTACAAACTTGAAATATATCACAGTTTTTAATTTCAATTATCGTAGTTTTAATTTTTTATTGGGTCACACACCACGTCATATATATAATTATATTTCCATTGTGACTATTCCTATTAATCACGCAGGGGTTTAATGGAATTATCCTTATTCATGAATTTTTTATTGAATCGATAAAGTTTCAATCATCGTTCTTGAGTCTTCGTACCCTGCTCTCACATATGATATATGTGTTGGAATACAGAAGTAGAATTATCCAAAAATTAAAAAAATTCCTCAATTCAATGAACAAGATCGTCTAAATGTTCACGTGTATATTATATCAAAAATAAATTATTCGATTTTTACCTAAATTTGATGATCAATTCTTGACTTAATTCCGAATCACGAATTTCAAGCTTTTTAGATCACGAACTTCTAGATTTTAATTGTAAAAACTTTAACCTTCAAACCCCAAGTCTTTTATGGTATTCTCCAAAGTCAATATTATATCGATGGATGGACATCTTCTTTTAATTAAATTGATAAACCAATTCTTGAACTAGACAATCGATAAATGTGAGAAAAATAATTTTTCTCTCTCCAAATTTGAACACCATGAAATTTTGTATCATGATTGTTATACAATCCCATAAGATGTATAGTTTTCACCAAATCTCTATTTATAAAGATAGACTAGTTCTAATCATTGTACAATAATAATTCTAATTCTAATGCAAATATGAGTTTTAATTTAAAGTTCAAATTCAATTAGTTTACATTTAATTATATATGTGATCCTAGAACTTCGATTACAATTATGACAAAGTTTACAACTTTCATAGTAATTACAACTAAACCCAAAATTTTATTGTAATTATAATTAAGCCCAAAACTATTATAACTACCATAATTAAATTTCAATACTTTTATAGAGCTACCACAGGGATTTGACAGACATATGTTGTCCAAGTTTCAATAGTTAGATCATGTATAATCGACCATAGACCACCAAATCTAATTATTAGTCTTTATTTTTTTCCATTAAAGGCAAAAAACTGAACTCTTGAAATATATAAGATCACAAAAGTCAATGTACCTGTTATGCTTTCTTATGACCTGCAGTATATGTATTTTATCCCCGTTCGCTCCGATAATTATGTATGAGTAGAAATAACCGTTTTGCCATTCTAATTATTCTCAGTAACTTAAGTATCACTTGCTTCAACGATTCTATAAACTAATTACAGATGTCGAAATTTAGTCATCGTGAAACACTGAGTTTAGATTTTAATCGTTCAACGGAAAAATATTTAAACATCCACTCTACCCATTTTCAAGGTGATGGTTCCCGACATGAATTTATATTCTCTACTTCGTTCATTCTCAAGATCCTAAATTATCGAGATATTTGACCTACCAAGATCTCATCTATTGATGAATTAAATAACCATTAAAATCATAAAAAGATATAAAAAAAAACCCTGTCATAAAATACACAATGGTTGAGTGGAATTTAATTATCCGCAAGATCATGCTATAGAATTAAACTCTACACGTGGTCCGTTCAATATGCTTCAAATGTATTAGTGTTACATTTAACTATTTATGTTATAAGTACATATCACAACTTGAATAGTGAATCAGTAAATATTACAACATTCTAATACAATGTGTCAACCCTTATATATTGGTTGTGAACAAATTATTTATGATCAAAATATAAGTTATGTCAGTATTATACTTCTCAACGCAAGTACGCAATTTAAGTTATCACACGTGATTGTAGGCATGTTAATTCGCATGCTTGATAATAAATAAATGCAATAAATATAATCACGATTAATTTATTATATATTATTATTATTATTTTATCATAACAAAATATACTATATGGACACACGGCCCAACAATATGATCTTGTGCAATGATTATATGATTGGGCAATCCTCTATATATATCATATACGATGTCGTGAGATGATTATATATAATTGATCTATTCTTTATGGAAACTTGGTAAACAATGCACAATAGAGAATTTTGAGCCGACGACATGACAAACGTGCACTTGAACCCTCATACTAGCTAAATATAGTGTTCATTTTTTATAGTTTTCATTTGTACAGGACTTGATGTTGGATTATGATGGAAACACTAAGACGATTGGATTGAGATACGATGTACCATGTCAGTTATATTTTCGAGGTTTCTAATATGTTACATTCGATACTTTAGTTATAATAATTTTCAACGTGCAACTAGACAAATGTTAGTATATATGGGGTTGGGCATCATGTATATTTTGATAGCTTATTCGATAGGGAGAAATACAAGTGCAATAAAGACTTCTTGGGGAGATTTAGCCGTGATATACTTTGTGAAGATGGTGCTCCTACTACTTTTTGGTTTTCATGGTCAGATCCTTCCTAAGAGGGAAGAATTGAATCATGAGAACTGAGGCTTCACTACTAAATAGCATTTAAAGTTTGCACGGTTGTGTTTTCTTTAAAAAGCATGCCTCTTTTATTTGTAGTTTATATATATAGCATGTTTTGATTGTTTATTACTTTAGCACTGTGTTTGTTTGGAAGTTAGTTGTGCGGCATGGGTTTAATGTGGTCTGTGCTTAATATCATAATGTATTGCAATTTGTTATTGAACAACTTGAATGCATTTACTTTGCTGTTTCGTTAAAGCTTGTTCACAAATTGCGCTTTTTCTTAAAGTTTTGATCATATTTAGATGTTAATTTTTAAAAAGAGTATGTAAAGTACGAGCCATAATTATCGACATGATCCATAATTTGTACTGAATCATAAAAAGTGATCCATCCTTATACCTAGACATGTGTTTTTCATATCACATTCCAAATTTTTAATTGAGCAGAGAATTCCAATAGCGTTAAAAATCCCGATAAAGTAGAGAATTCAAATAGATCACCGAATTTCGATAACGTAGAGAAGAAGAAGTAAGAAAATGAGTGGCTGCTGCACGAAAGGTATTTTGGATTTTAAAAATTATTTAATATACGATTTATTTATTTTTTAGGTAATCATACGAATTGGAGAGCTCTCTTGATTTCTCATCCTTATTTTTGAACCATTTGTTAACTCGAACCCGTAGAAGGCCAAATTTAACGCTCTTACCGCTGGCCGTTTTCGATAAACCTTTTATTTAAATAACCACCGGTCGGCCGGCCGGCTACACTGCCTCCGTTCTCTCTCTCTCTGCGATCTTCTCCTCTCTCTCTCTATCTATATGTATTTATATATATACACACAGGAATTACTTTCTTATCAAATTTTGCCCTTTTTTGTCGAACCTTTTCGTCGAAAACACCACAAAGCAGCACACAGGCGCGCAGATTATTTTCTGTGCTTCTCGCCCATGGGTTTAACTCCTTAATCCCTAAACCCCTGAGTGTTTTTGGCACAAAAGTGATCATGAACGTCCAAATTATAGGTGATTCTCTCTGTTTCTTTTTCGCACAAAAATACATTCTTTCTCAGTTGTTCACCCTTTTCGTGAAATAAAAAGCATATACGAAAATATCGAACGGCATAAACTCGTATGATCTCCTTTTTATCTTATTGCGGTTAATTTTTCTGATTATCTGTGACTTTTTTTGTTATTAATTTTGATTGGCACAGACCCACTACAGGGGGATTTTCCAGAAGTAATAGAGGAGTATTTGGAGCATGGTGTTATGAAATGTGTCGCCTTTAATCGCCGCGGAACTCTTCTAGCGGGTATAATTTATTTCTATTTTCTCATTGGTAACTTTGCATGTAGGTTTGTATTATTGTTAAGATCTTTCCAAATGATTTTTCAATTTCGACAATGTAGGTCCACTATTTGGTAAATATACTTTGATGTTATGTCGATTCAAACGAGAGATTACAGACATTTGAGCAAATTGTGGAAACACCCCTGAGATATCTGTTTATTATATAGACATCCATTCTTGTTATGAAATTACTAAAACCTCCTCTTATATTTGTTTTTATTTATACAACATGGTCTCCCTTTTCGGCCAAAAAGTGAAAATATTTTTCGCACTATTCATTTTTGTTGCGGTACTATATTTGAAATTACCACTAAAGTACACGAACTGCATTTTTTGTCTCTTTTTCTTATTTCTCAAAATATCTTTTACTTTTGATTGAGATGGGAGCATATATTTAAGCTAAAAAGAACCATCATTGTAATTTTTTGCAATAATGTGTAATAAAATTAATTAATTTTTTTGAACAAATTTATGCATTTTTTATTCGACTGAGAACAACTTGTTTCTTTAGATGAGTAACCATTGAATGCAAACACATGTTTTAAATAATTTTACTAAATGTTATTAGGATTTGATTACTTACTAAGAAACTAACATCTTTTAAGCTATAAAATGTTCTTATCCAAAATAAAAAATAAAAAATGAGAAAAAATATATATCGAGTCTAGCATGAAGACACAATCATAAAATGCGAAATGCATATCTTCTTTTTGTCCACTGGGCGGTTTTTGTAATTTTTGAAAAGGCAGGTGGTGTCATTGGAATCTGTTCTACATATTTTGTAAATCTGTTTATTAAACATTATTCAGAGGGTAGTTAATTTTGATATAGAAATGCAATGTTCTTGTACTAGTTTTGAACTATGAATCGTTTAAGATTGCTGGAGGTGACAGAACATCCTCTTAAAATTTGGTGCTAAAACCTGAACTCTAGGATGTTTAGTATGTGTCCTTGATGTTTAATTTTCTTGTTATCATGGTCATAGATTTTAGAAGGAAGTAATGACCCTTCCAGTATTAATTTACATTTAAAACTTTAGTATTACAATTGTTGATGTTCTGTGTGTTCACGATTTTGTACTTCCTCCCTTTCTGCACTACTATATAAGTTTTGCTTTATTTTTATTTGACAAAATGTATTCCAAATCAAATGAGGTGCTCTTTTTTCCCTACCCAGGATAGCATTTGATGATGTAAATCAATGCACGTCTTAACCCTGCAAAGTGATCAAACTTGGGAATCTTTCGGGGTTTCCTTTCACAGTACATATTGTTCAGGAGTTAATTCCATTATCATGTTATGAATGAATAAGCTCACCTTTTTTTTGGCTTGTGGTATTTATCCGTAATTGTAAGATTACATGCTCTCCTCGGAATAGCGGAATAGGAATCACATGGAAAGAAAATGGGGAAATGATGAATTTTAACAAAATAGTGGGGTCAATTCTCCGATATGAAGTCAAGGAAGGAACTTGATTATTGGACCATTAGAAGGTGGGAAGAACCGATTGACAGCGAAATTTTCTTCGAAAAATGGTTAGTTGTAAAAAGAAAATATAGGAAGCTTAAGATGTCTACAGTTTGCTTGAGCACAGTTTTCCCTTTTCTTATTAGCCATGTCATGCTTATATTCTTCATACATAGTACTAGGGTAAGTGGTCTAGATGGAGTAAATGCTACAAGAATTCCATGATTATAAGTACTACCAAGTTGTAAAGTTTCAAATTGGTGATTGGACTAAAACTGTATTTTATGGGAAATTTTGGGCAGTTAATGACAAAACATAAAAATGAGGAGTTTACGATGGATGTGGCCATTCTAGAACGATAAATAAGTCTTAACGAATGGACGATGTAGATGGATGAGGCATGTTTTGCAATGATGTAATGAAGCTTTCATCCACGTAAAGTGATATCAACATGTTGAAAGATGGAGAAGTTGACTAAAAGTAACATGCTCGATGTGGTTGTGAGAAGTTTAATTCTGCGAACCTTTCAGTAGATGTAGCTTTGCTTTGCTTTGCTTTGGATCAAACAGTGTGGGGAGAAAGGGATCTACCCAGTTCCAATTTTATGGGGGATAAGATTTAGCTTCTTGTTCTTATCATAGTTGTTGGATTGTAACTCTCAGTGTAAATATAGCAGGTGCACCAACTTGTTGCAATTTTTTTGACAAGTATCTTAGTAGCAAAATGTTAAAACTAGATTTAGGTGCCACCATCATAGTTCCTGAAAGAGGTACAGCTATAGCTTGCCTTATAAATGTATTGCCAGTTCTAGAGATGATATTTTTTCTTTCTGTCTTACTTAATTCTCTTTGTATTTATATGCTAACGTCTGACTCAATGTGCTCTGTGTTTACTATGTGGATTGTTTTTTCTTTTCCAGCTGGGTGCTCTGATGGAAGCTGTATTATTTGGGATTTTGAAACCAGGGGCATTGCCAAAGAACTCAGGGACAAGGATTGTGTTGCTGCTATAACAAGTGTTTGTTGGTCTAAGTATGGTCATCGCATACTTGTGTCTTCTGCTGATAAATCATTGACCCTTTGGGATGTTGTCGAAGGGGAGAAAATAGCTCAAACTACACTGTCACAAACCCCATTGCAAGCTCGTCTACACCCTGGTTCCTCTACTCCATCTATTTGCTTAGCTTGTCCCTTCTCATCAGCACCCGTGATTGTTGACATGAGTACAGGAATCACAACATTACTTCCCGTGTCATTATCTGATACAGAAAATGGGGTTGTCCCTCCCCCACGTAACAAGTTTTCAGACGGATCTACCCCTTTTAGTCCTACTGCGGCATGCTTTAATAAGTACGGCGATATGGTTTATGTTGGGAATTCTAAAGGGGAGGTACTTATTATAGATCATAAGAACGTCCAAATATGCGGTATTGTTCCTATTCCTGGGAATGCTGTAATAAAGAATATGGTGTTTAGCAGGAATGGCCAGTATCTTCTGACAAACTCGAATGATCGGACAATTAGAATCTATGAAAACCTTTTGCCTTTGAAAGGAGGACTTAAATTCTTGGAAGAATCGAATCATGCCGGAGATGAACAAGATAAATTTGAAAAGTTGAAAGCTGTTGGATCAAGGTGTTTAACTCTGTTTCGGGAGTTTCAGGATTCCATCACTAAAGTACACTGGAAAGCACCATGTTTTAGTGGTGATGGTGAGTGGGTTATTGGTGGATCTGCCAGCAAGGGAGAGCACAAGATCTACATATGGGACAGGGCTGGGCATCTTGTAAAAATCCTTGAAGGTCCAAAGGAGGCACTAATAGATTTAGCATGGCATCCTGTTCACCCTATTGTTGTTTCTGTCTCCTTGACTGGTTTGGTTTATATCTGGGCCAAAGATTATACTGAGAATTGGAGTGCATTTGCTCCAGACTTCAAGGAGCTAGAGGAAAATGAGGAGTATGTAGAACGAGAGGACGAATTTGATTTAATGCCAGAAACTGAAAAGGTCAGGTTGACATTTATGGGCAAATTGCTTTCTTTTCTTCCTTTTCCATGCCCATGTTAAACATGTTTGTGTTGATGCAGGTGAAAGAATCTGATGTCGATGAAGATGAAGAGATTGATATTATGGGAGTTGAAAAAGACTCGGGGTTTAGTGATTCTGATATGTCGCAGGGTGAGATATGCTTCTTGCCTGCTGATCCGTCCCCAGATCTTCCTGAACCACAGGACAAGTTTGTTGGAAGTACTTCAAAGCAGGGGGACAGTAACCAGTCTGCATCTGCTCTTTCGGAAGAGGCTGGACAAAGTGCTCGTCTAACAAGCCACATATCCCCCCCACTTTAAGGTAACGTTATCCATTCCAAGTGAATCCAATCACGTGTTACCGGTTCTTATCACTGAATTTCAAGGATGAGATTGCTATCATACTCATAATTGAAGTTGGAACTTCTATGTTAAGTATACGTTGGTTAAATGCTGTCTTATGGATATAAGACCAGCAACAATAGATTTAAACTATTCAACCCATATGAACACCCTAGCTGGAAATGTTGTCATTTCTGGTGTATCTGGCTTTAATTCCTCTCAGGTCATTTTGAAGAGAGCAAGAGTTCTAATAGAAATGAAGAATTCTTGTTTCCCACCCCCAAGAATTCATTTTCATGTTGGCAAATAATCAGTTTCCAACTTGCTTGCTTCTTTTATATTTTATGGATGAGCTTATTTGATACCGAATCACGTACTTAAATAACAAATTTATGGAATTTCTATCAACAATTCTATTCATTCGGCCTTTTGACACCTTAGTTATTGCTGAATTGTTTTGCCGAAGCTGGACAGGCTTGCTTTAGTTTTTTGAGAAGTCTTTTGACGCAAAACATCGCACAAAAACAGAAATAGGGAAGAGAAAGTGAAGAAATGACATAAAAGTTTACTTGGAAGAGTATCAATCTTTAATCAGCCAAGATGGTTATGTACATGTTTGTCAAAGCATATAATTGTTTATAAGCAGTGGGTCAAGGAATGTCTGGTTTGAAAGTAGGTAAAAATCATGGGACATACAGAATGTGTGGAGAAACCATAAAGTTTAATCACTGTATAAGTTTTGAAAAACATGCATGTAATCCTAGGTCCTATGTGTAAAGTCTGAGCATAAATTTAAAACTTCTAGTAAAATAACTACTACTAAATGATAATATCCTGATAAAACTACTACAATTTTATTCAAATCAAGCTATGCCTGGTTGAGCCACATTTTTTAAAAACTCATTTTACTAACTCGTGTTTAACCATACGTTTTCCAATAAAATTATTTTGTATGTAAACCTAAAACTCTTTCTTATTTTTTAATAATGCATTCTCCAATAAAAATTACTATTACAAAACTCATTTTACAAAAAGAAATGGGGCCAATCAGAGCCCTTGTCTTCAATCCTCATCTTCATTTCAATTCAAATTGCTTTTGTACACGAGTTTGATGTCTTTTCTTGCACACATTCATGACTTTTTTATAATTTTGTCAACTCCACTGCATTTGCTTGTAGGGTGTCTGGAAGGGAGGATTTGATACTACACTGTACCAATAAATATAAAAAAAGAAGCTGAAATTTGGTTTATTTGTCTAGTCTTGTCTGATAGATTTAGCAATATAGACCTTTATCTTGTGTGTGAAGTTATTGACAAAAGGACATAATATTGGTACTGACTTCTCATTACAATAATGCTATCTGGTAGGATCTTTGGGAACTCAGGGCCTGTTTGATAGGCCTTTTTTCCATGGAAATTGGAAATGAAATTCCATTTTCCATGTTTTTGAGTGTTTGATTTGCCAGATTTTCCAAGTAATTGGTTTTCTAGCTTTGCCCTCACGTGACCGGCTTTTCCTTGGTTTTGAGGAATTCACTTTATCATGGGATTGGTGGAAACTGATTTTCCATGCAATTTTTTTTTTTTTTTCCGTTCGTTGCTAGGAACAATTGTAAATAGAGGATATCCTTTAAATTGACAATCTCCATGTAAAACAAAGTCAAACGAACACAAAAAATATAGATGATTTTTGGATTTTTTATTTCTTATTTTTTTGCACTGGTAACAAATCATAGAAACAATTGTAGAAGTGGATATCCCTTAAATTGATAATTTTCAGAAAAAACAAAGTCAAACAAATACCAAAAGACACTTATATTTCAACATTTTTCAAGAGGAAAATTATACCAATCAAACACTATTAATTGACAATTACTAATAAAACAATTTCCAAGCAATTCAATTCCCTGGAATTTGTTTTATTTTTATCAAAATTTAATCTTTACAATCAAACAGACCCTTAGTCTTTGAAGATTGTGATGGCTTTGCTATTGAATTTATATTTTCTCCCATTCCATGCTTATAGAAATGGAAATGACTTTGGAAGGTAAATTTTTAGGTCCAAGTACAATCTTTTGGGGCGGGCTTCCAAAAATACTTATACCATGTTGCATTATCCATATCATTCCATTTTTCTGTATCAGGTGCATGCTGAGTTATTGATGTTTTATTTGTTCTCTGTTGCAGCAATGGACAATTCTGCTGCAGAGGACAACGGAGGAACAAGTTCAAGAAGAAAGAGAAGGTCTTCAGAGGTGTTGTAAGTTTTGCAGGTAGAGAATCTTTAGGCATCTTCGTCAATGATGAAGGCATGGTGTAACTCATCAAATTCTATAAAATTATCTGCAGTTGCATATTTTATTTGTCCTAATGTATTTGTAGATCATGTTAAGTTCGGTTCTTGATACAAATTGCTCGAAACCTAATCGGTGTCAATTTTTTTTTAAAAATTGCAGATGCTTTTTGTGGGATCGTTGTATTTAGTTTAAACAAAATTGGTTTCATTTTTGAGTGCTTACAAGTTCCATCTTAATGCTTGTTTAGTAGTGCTTGTAAGTTGTGGATCCTACATAATGTGTATTGAGTTGGGATTCTACGAAATTTGTGGATAATAAGTATGTTTGATTTTGCCAAACATGCTTTGGATGATATTTTTGTCAAAATTAATTTTTTAACTCTCAAAATATTTTCAAAGTTTTTTAGCAGAAAAGAGTTATCTTGGGGATAATAGTGCGGGGTTTGTCTTTATTTCCGAGTGATGAACAATAAGGAAAATGGAACCATTTTTCTTCTCGCCCTCTTTTCTATTATTATTATTTTGATTAACTAGGAGAATTAACAGTACGTAATTTTGTCAGCCTCAAACTTTACGATAATTCATTGCTTTTCCATAAACACAATTAATTTATTAATTACTGGAATTGAATATACAGGAATATGTATCTGTACACCGTATAGTATATATTTAGCTAATGTTTAGCATTCTGATATCCAAAGTTGTAGGCGATATAAGCACTCAGTCCAACAATAACAAGCAGTGCTGCACCCATGTTCGCCAGCAATTGCCTCTCTTCGTGAAGCTCGCCAATCCCTTTCCTTGCTTTCTTCTTGTACTTCTTCAGTTCCACTTTCAAAGCGCCATGATCAGGAGAATCATCAGTTGTACTTGATTTGTCAATTTTATGATGATGTTTTTTAGATATTTTCTCTGATTTGATCTTCTCACGATCTTCAGTTATATCTTTACCTTTTCCCACATTATCCTTCCATGGTGCTGTTTTTGTTGCAATGTGTTGGGTTCCCTGCTTCTCGATATAAGCCTTTTCTTCGTCTTCCTGTTGTCCAATTCTAGTATTTGGTTTATCGCCGGACATTCTCTTAATTCCTAGTGGTTCCAAACTTTTGTCATCAACGATCTCCTTCCTTACCTTGTCCACAATATTTTCTTGTGCAGCAGGTTTCTCTGTCAGTTCCGGGCTTTTATCCTTCTCCATATGACTCTTTCTTTCATCTTCTTGTCGTCCAATTTTTGTCCTTGGAGCTGATTCTGAACTTCTGCCATCTGTTATCGGCTTGCTACTACCAATTGCTGGAGTAATTTTATCTTGGCCGCCCTGATCACGCCCGGGTTCCTTGGGAGATTTCATGTCTGTAATTTTAGGAGGAAGGACTTGATCTTCAGCTTTTGGAAGAGGGCTAAGGGTTACTTTACCAGCACCAACATTCTTTCTTGGGATCGTAATGGTTAAAGTTCTTCCGTCGTGCTTTGCACGAACTGATGTTAGTTTGCTATTATCCGGGACTTGGAAGTCCTCCTGGAAACGACTCCATTTGTTGCCGGCAATCAGGCATTCTCCACGAACCCTAATGATATTCCGATCTTCGGTTGAAACCTTGAGTTGCTCCTTCATGAAACCTATGGGGGGAACAACATATATGTATATCACAAAATCCCTTAATACGATCCCTAATTTTCATCGGCCTATTAGAGGTGTAAAACTGGTCAAGCCTAGGAGGACGTTCGTGGCTTGACACTGACACACAACTCCCGATCTTAGCTTAAAACATAATGTCGATTTAAAACAAAATAAGTTTAGAACTTACCAGGAACTTGAATAGCGAGAACATATGTATCATCATCTTGTGACCATTCTGAAGTAGGTTTAAAATCTTCATATATTGGTCTGACACCACCCCTTCGTGATTGATATGGAGGTGTTGCACCATCATGTCTGTGCCTCGGCGTTGTCATTCCTACCACCACAAGCTCTCTTCTCACGTTTAATATGTTATATTAGTTTTTCCTCTATGATCAAACTTTGATATCTATAAACATTGTTTGATGGCCTCAACTATATCTTGAAATTTAAATTATTTTTTACTTTTTCGCTTTCTTTACTTAAGAATGAGACTATTCCAATTTTATTGCTTCCATAGTGTGGTTTTTATAGAGTTTGGTTTATCCTAAGGTGCATGTTAATGCTAGGTATATCTTACTGTGAAGATAAAGAAAAGTCAGAAAGTTCTTTGGTTGGCCTACGAGCTTTTCCAGATGCCAAGTGTGACTACTTCAAAATGTACATGTATTGACAATTCTTCAACATGGCTTGCTGTGGATTCTTGCTAGCATCAAGGTTGATTATTTGTTTTCTGGAAATTAAAACACTTGATGTGGTCATTTTAATGTGTTTGATTGATAGGGAAGTTAAAACACAACAATTCAATGTATGTACACTAGTTTTCTATTATTCTTGGGTACTTTTATTTACATCACTGTTTTTATTTATACATCCACTTTTAAAAAATATAATTACATTATATTTTTTTATCTTATACAAATTTACCTAAATATACATATATAAAATTAAATAAAAATATATCGTTTATAATTTCACCCATTAATATTTATTTTCATAAATTCTTCTAAACCCTTTTATATTCTTTAAGTTTGTGTTTAACTAAAATTCTAATAATAATAAAATACCATCTTCATCTAAACTCATAAAATACCCTCTTCAACGGATATTTTTAAAAAATAAAATCAACATATTATTAGAGTTATAATTCTTTCATGCTATGAAAAATGAAATATTATTTTTTACGTTTTTTTAAGTATTGGTCTGACAGATGAAAATATTCGAGAAATTTGAAAATAAGTTTCAATATCAGTCTAAATATTCTTACATTACAAATAGAAACAAATTTAAATTATCAGTCGAAATACAAACAACCAAAATTATGAGCTTATAAGTTAAAAAGGGGAAATCTTGATTAATATATGATTTGAGGAGGAATTTGTTTGATTGCTTGAGCAGTATACCCTTGATAGAATCATATAAATTCAAGAAAACAAACTTACTAAACCTTTATAATTAAATATCAAAGCACCAACATAATAATATAGAAAATGAAAAGTGAGAACCACATTAAATGTTGATAATGATTTTTATTGGGAATGTATTTATAATAGGATGAATATATAAAATTTGTATGGATCTATAATGTTTAAATGAATGAATTTAATAAGAACAATATTAAAATTTATCGTGGATGAAAATAATAATTTCTCAAAATTATAATCTTTTGATAGAGATGTATATACAGTGGAATGCATATATAAAAGCTGCGGAGGTAAGCAGCGGCACCTTTATTCTTTGAGAATATTTTGGACAAGTTTTTGAATTTTGACTTATAAATATTTATTATTTGATTTGAGTACCACTTACTGCTTTATGTTACTTTAATGTTTTTCACGTTTGGACTCATCTTTATTTAATTATGGCAACATCTACTAAAGTTTCAATTGTAGAATCAACTGCACATCTTTTGATTGACATACGTAATAATTTCAAAATAATTTAGGAGGACATTTCAGTAATTTTATACTCCTTTGGATTACTCATTAACCATAATAGCTCACATCCCACCGGGACAACTTTGAAGATGGCTGGTAGATTCTTCCTATTTTTCATAATAGCCTTTCTTATTAAAAGTACTATATTGCCCTTAATGAAATTATTTATAAGATTTATCTTATATTTTTAAGAAATTGTCAATCAGGTCCTATATTTATATTTTTCAATCTTTTTCAATCTTTAAATATTCTTTATATTTTAATAATTCTTCAAAGATTATAGGTTGACCTTTCTTAGTTATATATCCTTTAAATAATCCTTCTGAGATTTCTTCTTGTATATCCGTGTGTTTAGTTATAATATCTTCTACTTTTCTTATTTCTCTATAAGTTCTCACAGAATCAAATCCTATATTATTCTTACAACTATAATCTACATCTCTATATATTTCTTCAATTTTTTTTTTACCAATAGGGAATATAACATCAGATTTTACATCTAATTTAAGCAGAAAAGAAACATCTTCTTCATCTAAAAATAAAATGAGATTTTTATCATTATTAACAGTAGAAGTGGATGCTTGTGAATTGCTCATCAAAGATAATTAAAGCATAAGCATGTAAAGATAAGTAAATAACTTACAGTAATCAAGTGGAATAAACAGGTTTTCCCTCCAGTATGCTCTTATAGATGCTTTGCATGTACTTTAATCAATCTTCTGAATCAAGTAAAGATTTAAAATGTTTTGAAATCATTTGGGTCCACAACTGCTTCCGCAAAAGGTTTTTCAATTAAGGTTGCATTACTTATTCTAGAGAACTAGCCGTGTTTCCACAGACGCTATCTCACCGTATCCAGAGTCTCTGTTTTCACCTCTATCCAAACTCTTTTCAGAATCAAATTCCTACTTGGAACGAAATTTTAAAAGATAACTCACACACAAAGTGCTACAATTTTTTGTTAGAAAACTGCCTTTTTCCCCTAAACCATTCATCAAAGACGGGTACTTTAGCATGGCTAACATCCATTCAAAATCAATGTTTTGAAAATCTTTTAAAATCTCTATCTGTACTGCCGAGGAATCATAAGAAACTTAACGAAATCCTTTTATGAAAGTTTTGTTGAACATAACAAACTTTACTTTGATATTCATAAATTGAAATTGTACATGCTTACAAACTATATTTACATACCTTTGGTACTCACCTTATGAAGTTTAGAACTCCATAAGTGATTACCTTATTACACGCTTTCCTATCTTCAAGCT